ATAGAAAAGCGTTTGATCTCATTAAACTTGATATATTGTTTTAAAAACTACCGTTTTTTAACATTCTAGTTGTGGCTTTAGATTTCGTACGTACTTACTTATCTTCACGGTTACAATATGCGTGTTTTAATGGATACCGGTCCAAGCCAGAACAAATTTCGCATGGGGTATCATAGGGGTTTATTTTAAGTCCTCTGTTTTTTTATTATTTATATTAATGATATTCTACCTATCCAAAGCACTCCTAAAATAGTTTTGTACTCCGACGATACAAGCTTATTTTGTTCTTATCCATTTTTACGTCATCTAGAAGTTACTACTAACATGTGGCTCAACGAGTTATCGGACTGGCTTGACTCTAATCAATTTCAGTTAAATGTTAAGAAAACAAATATGACCTTTTTAAGCCACGAGGTAAACCCGACGATTGTGAAATTTTTATACAAATTTATGACTGTGATCGACCGTGTAAACGTTTATAAATTGCCAGGAGAAATTTAAGCTGGACACATCATATTATTAAAATGCATGCAAGCATCTTGATATCTATTGGTATTTTATACAAAATTAGATTGATGGTTCCATGCTGGTTAAAACGTCAGTTGTACTATACTTTGATTATACTTTCATCTCCATTACTGTTTATTAGTCTGGGGTACAAGAACAACAAAAAAAAAAGATTGATAGGCTGTTTCTTTTGCAAAAACAAAAGCTATAGGATGTGCAGAAAAACTTCAGCATACTGACCACACAGCACCGTTCTCTTGGAGCGCAGATCTTAAGCTCTCGTTTCTGGCTTGAGCGGCGTCGGCGTAACCGTAAGGTCACGTGACCCCGGTGACGTCCCGTGACCTCCTTGAGGTCACGTGACCCGGGTGACATCACGTGACCTTTGTAAGGTAACTTGACCCCCGTGAGGTCAGGTGACACCCGTGAGGTCAGGTGGCGTAACCGTGAGGAGTAGCAGGCAGGATTAGGAGGTGAGGAGGAGAAAGAAGTATGCGCTTCCCTCAGTACCCTTCCCTCCTCCTCGAGAGAGCTGCGCTCTAATTCGGCTTGACAGGGAGTTGTACACTCTAAAACAATTCCGTGAGTCTAATTTCCCGCACAATACTCGGAGATCCAATCAGCGCACCTTACGGAGGCAGCTCAGCGAATGGTGATACCGAAACATATGTTTAGACCTAAAAAAGCAGTCTCAGTTGTGACATTAAGCAATGCAAGTCTGACATTTCGTATTGATTAATGTCACAACTCAGACTGCGTTTTTTTGGTATAAAAATATGTTTCGGCATCGTCATTCGCTGAGCTGCCTCCGCGAGTTGCGGTGATTGGCTCTCCGAGTGTTGAGCGGGAAAGTAGACGTACAGGTTTTTCTTAGAGTGTAAGCGGCTTTCATATTTCATATAAATTTTCTTACCACTCAAAATAATTAGTGGCCCCACCCGTTTTTTACGCGCTTCTTCCTAGTAATACACAATACAATCTCCGACACGGCTATTATAGAGTACCTTGGTCTAGGCGGAATTATGGATGTAACCAATTACCATACTTGATGCCTGATTTTTTTAATAAACATCCAGCCGTTGGGAAAATAATCTGAGATTGTGGAACAAAACACTGCTTTAAAATTAGTCTACAGCGGTACTTTCTCTCATTACATGTTGAGTAAATACTTTTAGATTACATTTTTATTGTGCAGGAGTTGTATTAACTGTCTCATTTATTTCCAAAATATTAAGTGCACTAACGATTGTATAAGCTCTGTACAAAACATGCTGTGTTGATTGTTGCTGATGTGCTATTGTATCTTCTTGCAATGTTTAATGAATATTGTTTTTGTTTTCGCCTCCTGAGCGTTGCAAATGGGTGATAGGGCCAAGTCAGGCAGAGCTAATCTGCCTTTTGTCTTGTTACCTTAGGCCTAGTGTCTACATAAAGCCAATTAAATTAAATTATTTGAAAATGAAAAGAACGCGTTACAGTTACCCAAATAAAGTAACGAACATTATCTTGGCGTTACTTTTTGAGTTATGAATTTATATGTTTGATGTTTTCACGTCAAATGTATACTTAATCGCCATATTTCTAGAAACATTACGTCTATGCACACACTTTACATAATTACTTCGTTTTTTATGGCTTGCCCCAAACACTCACAAAAAATGCAAAGAAAAACGCAAAGAAAACAACAGAGCACTTAGCTTGGCGCCTAGAGGCACGATGACCAATTTTTGTAACTTTGTCTTAAGTTTTAGGAAGTAAAAGTAACCAGTGACGTAAATCCGTCACCCGTTACTCGAACTGCGTAATGTAGATACATTACCCGTTACTGTTTTAAAAAAGTAAAGTACGTTAAGCGTAACCGAAAATAGGCAACGCGTTACCGGTAACGTCATTACTAGTAACGCGTTACCCCAACACTGGAGCTGAGTCTTCAAACGATGAACAGTCTTTGTGTCAAAACACGGAACTCTATGTCCCCCTCACACTCAAAAATATAACGTTGCACTCCGAAATAGAACGCGACCCAATCAACACTGAGACATCAGTCAGGGGCAATGTCTAGGTTTGTATAGAGGAAACGCAGAGAAGAAATGCGCCCCTTCCTTGAAGGTTACATATGTCACAAACAGCGGCAGAAAGCAAACGGAATGGTTTCGTCTCGTTGCCGTTACAATTCATCAAGATGCGGGGCTTGGATTTTGACTGAAAAGGACAAGGTGAAAAGCAGATCCCGTAAGTTGCTCTATCCGATTTGTCTAAGACGATCTATTTATGCATGATAGAAACCACTGCTATTTGATTCGTTTCTTACTTACTCTTATTAGCGCCACCAGGTATATGCTTAAGGGCTGTTAACATGCCATTGCACATTTACGCTCCTTTTACTTATAGGCGACCATAACCATGCTGCAGACGAGCCGGGCTTGTGAGGGACCAGCTGCGCTTGACGCTGAAAACGTCAGCAGCACCCAACCCGAATACGCCCATGCCAAGTTTGTTTAACGAGGAACTTCTCCAAACCTGCTCTGCAGTTTCCTTGCAAATTATTATATCTATGACACCTACGAAGTATCCTGCAGAGTTTCCTAAACGAAATCACTAAATTTATTCTAGGTGCCAGATGAAGGCGCAGCAGATGTACCCACGTTTGCCAGCCTGAAGGATTCGATGCATCGAGGAAGGCGCTCAGCGCAGCCACCGGTTCCTTCATCAGCCGACACACCGCAAGACAACGACGCCCACAAAAAGACAAAAAGAGCGGAGCCCTTCTTCATCATCGACGACCGCAGAGACCTCGTTGAATTGTTGCCTTCGCAACATGACATGGCATGCAACGGCTGTCGTCAGTTAAAAGTATTTTTTCGCGGACGGGGCTTTTTTTGTTGTACCTTACATGTGTGACGAACTTGTAACTCTGCATGTTGTAACTGACGGAGTGATTGGCGCAGCCGTTCGCTTTTTGTTGTCGGGTCGGCTAGCTACAAATTTATGCTCCTGCGTTTGAAGGGCTATAATTACATTCACATCTGCTGGGATTCCTTCCTCGACCCCTGAAAGTTTCATGACGGATTTTGAGCAAGCGCTTTTTGGTGATCTGCGCGTCGTGTTTCCCCAAGCTGCTCATCGTGGGTGCCACTTTCATTTTTGCGCAAAACGTGTGGGCTTCCGTTCAGGGGGCTGTGCTCCAAAGCGCACATTCAAGAAACAGCCAGCTAAGGGCGCTCATTCGTAAGCTCGGGGCACTTTCCTTTCTTTCGCCTTCTGACATCCCTCGCCCCTGGGCGATTCTGCGTCCGGCCGTATATTGCTCGGTATTCCGGAGCTTCTAGGATTATTCGATTACCTTGACGCGACTTGGATGAGGGCATTTTCCAACCGGGACTGTGGAACCATCACGGAAACAGGGGATCCAGAACCAACAAACAGATGGAGGCATGGCATCGAAAAATTAAAGCAATGTCGGTAAGATCGCACCCGAACCCCTTCGCGTTCACTGATTTAATCGAGAGAGACGAGGCCAACAAGAGTGATCTTGCTTTAAGTTTAAAACGGGAGAGTCGTACGTCCGCGAGGCCGCATGTGGGCTACAAAAGTCAGAAAACTGGCGGAGATTGAAGTACGTTTTCACAGTGGCGTCATTTCGCTTTTTTTTAATTTTTGATCTATGCTCAAGCTTTTTTTGAAGTATAGGCATTGCTGAGAGCTTTAGCCGGAGAAATAAGTGTGTGAAAAAAGTTGCAGTCGATTCTTTTTACCAGCGTGTGATGTGTGAGAAATAAAGCCAATACGTTTGTCGCAAACAGATGGTATCACTCTAATCAAATGCAGAAAAATGGTTTCGAACAAGCCTGAAAGGAGGGAGGGGAACGGGGCGGGGGGGGGGGGGGGGGGGTGCTAGTGCCTGCCTGTACACATATCTTATATCTGACGGTATGTTGGGTACCCGAACAAGGTAAGAAAGGAGCGTCGGTCTGCTTTGCGAAGAAGGGTTCCTATGGTTCGGTGAGGGTAACAAAGAAACCACATATTTCCGCCATGACCTTGCACTATTTTAATGTCGCGATTACATAACACCATTTAAATGAATAAGAAAACGAAGACATATGTCTTAACAGCAATTGGGGATTTATCTGTCTAAATCAAAGTTATGAAATCGCTTCCGTTCGCGCATTCAAAGCCGTCGGTTTTATTTCGAAGTAACCACCCGGTTTTGATTTCAATTTCGTACAATTTTTATTTTTGTCGTGAGAGATGGCGCTGTCAAAACAAAACTAGCTCCTCTCTCATTCGTTTTCGCAAAGGTAAGTACGTTTCATTTAGCTTATTTTACTCAGTAGACTCAATGCTAAGTATTGCAGAAGTTTATAAACAATTATAGCTAGAGACATTTTTCAATCTAGAAAGTACTACTTTTCGATGATAACGGCGGTCTAATTTGTGATTGAAAAATTAATAAAATATAAATCTTTTCATTTATATATTTATGTTTACAGACGAAAGAAGATGAATATTTCGTTGTGGCGGAAGATAATGTAGTCTCAGGGCCTGAGTCGCTAAAAGCATTTGGACAATTCACCAAAAAGACCACGTTCGCAAGGCCTGCCGATTTCTACCTGATGCTCTTTGGGTAAGCAAGATCACGTAATTCCTGAGGTCTAGTTGTGCGGTTAAGGCAGAGATAACATATCCTAGTTCCTTATAACGATGCAATGCTCCCGAAGGATATGTGATAGATTCAGGCGGACGTGCGAATAGTTTCGGGCTTAAGATAAATTACACACTGCTTAGATCAAATCTTTGACTTCCGTGACCCTTCAAAACATGGACGAGCTTTTATTTTCACTCAAGGCAGTCGTAGAAGTTTTTTTACAGAAACGAGCACATTTAACTTTCAACTCTTTGCCGGAAAGAGTTGCCACATGATCTTCTATTACGGATTCTGGGCAGGCAAGTGGCGAGACCTTGGCGGAAGCCGGAGGGGTATCACTACAGGGTGATTTAAGGAGAGGCCAGGCTCTTTAAATCGACCGCGAAATTCGGTTTCTTAACCTATCGCGCTACGATTTGGTGCAGTGTTGCCAAGAAATGGTGCATTTTGTTTTTGTAAAAGTCGGTAAGAGCGAACTTACTTGAGGAAAAAGTGAAGAAAGAAAAGGTCTTTGCTCCTATGAAAATCCAGCAAAGCCACCGGTCTTCAAACAACATGGTGGCGTTTTGCACGGGAGGCAAGAGATGGCGCAAGCGGTCGCGACGCCAACTGCCACCAACAAATGAGCATACGACGTTTTTAGCAGACAAGGAACAGTAGTTTCTTCTTGTTACCGCGCCTGTTTTTGTTTCTGCGACTGTCGCCGCTTGCGGAACGCACGACGATTTTGAGTCGAAAAGAGTGCCTGCTAAAAACGCCGGATCTCGGCGCCGTATGCTCGTTCGTTGGCGGCGTTCGTTGCGCCATCTCTTGTCTCCTGTGCGAAACGGCGCCGTGTTGTTTGAAGACCGCTGGCGTCGCTCCGTTTAAATAGGAGCTAAGCCCTTTTCTTTCTTTCTTTTTCCTCAGGTAAATTTGCTCTTTGCAAAGTTTACAAAAGAAAAGTGCACCATTTGTGGGCAACGCTGCACAAAGTCGTAGCGCTATAGGTTAAGAAACCGAATTTTGTGGTCGATTTAAAGAGCCTGGCCTCTCCTTGAATCACATTGTAGAGTTTGGCTATTCACTGCACAGCAGTGATTAGACGCAAACTACCACTGAAACGTTCGTCTGGCTGTTTTTTCTCACGAGCCTAACTCAAGTGATTGCGCACTGCTCGTGTCGAATACTCGAGCCGCCTTCGACACTTTACCCCGGGGGATGTGATCCCCGTAACTACGTCGTTAATTTTTACGAAGCAGAATAACATTTTACCAATACAGGGAAGCTCCCGAGCTAATAGTGTTTCCGGTGAGTACAGTGGGATATGTCGAAACGTTTCCGCAATGAATTTGAAATGAAAACAAAACCATTTCAAGTTATGGTACTCTAAAACAGAATCACCTCGAAGTTGAACGCACCTGATGCAAGGTCTTTTCAACTTTTCTATTCACTCTTGGAACGGAATTTCTTCAAGGCCCTCAAATACGCAATTGAATTCCCCTGTTACCTTTTCATTCTACTGAAATCTCTTTCTAGCCAAGACTGTTTGAGTTTTAAGAAAAATATAAAGTGTGAGGGAGGTCAAACTTCTATTATCTTTTTTTTTTTCTAGTCGTAGCAAATGCCAAATGCAGATGATTTGCTACGCATTAAGAAAATGCGACACCCATCTTGCGGAAAGCTTTCTGTTTTGAATTCAATTTATTACGTAAAATATTATCTGCTAGGTGACGAGAGGTGCCCCACGCCTTCCTTTATTTTACGCACTTTTATTCAGCGACATGCAAAACGTTTCCCCTACAGTGCCTGATGTGCTGACCGTTTCACTGTGTAGCGAACCTGATTCGTCGCTTAATGTCTGCCACAATGTTGGAGCTTGGAAACCCACTAAACTCACTGTACAAAACAAAGGCGATAAATATCAAGGGCATCAAAGCTGAATTTCTTTTCGTTTTTTTTTTACTTTTATATATATATATATATATATATATATATATATATATATATATATATATATATATAAATAAATTATGACAACTGGGCCTTTGATTTTACATTTAATTAAAAATGCACAAGTTTCTTTTACTTGAACGCTTGTCAAAGCGCTATTGGAATAATCGATTTGATATTTTCATTGAATTCTTTTGAATTAGTTGGATTCCGGAAAGTTTTCACTCTACCCTTGCGCAAGAGAAGGTAAAGACGCCGCACAGACGAATGGCAAAAAGAACCCAGGACGAGCGCTAGAGCAACAAACCTTACCAACAAACTGACAAAAAAAAAGCCGACTCGATCATAAACAATCTTCTCATATTCTAAAATTGGGCGTAGTAAAGTTTTGTAAGCAAGCAGTTTTCAGCTAGGTGAACAACACCCGAGGAGGAGTTGTTATAACCTCCAAACCATGACCTGCAGAGCTTTGATATGTTGTTCTTAGGTCATCCGTTTCATTCCTAATACTGGCAGATAAGTGTTCTATTCACATTATGCAAGCACCATCTAGATTATGGGTTCAAAGCAATAATTCATTTTCATGTTTCCTTAAAAAAATTCATCTTTTTTTTTATTCAAGCATAGTTCAGTTCTTAGAAGGTGGTATCTTGTTACACACATATGTACTTATATGTGTCTAACGGATATGTGTTCAAGAGAGGACACAAATACGCTGATATCTGTCTCCTCTTTGTCTTTGTCTTTCTCTGCGCCGTATTTAACTACCTAGTGATGAACAAACTCGCTTTTATCGACAACTTTGCCACCTTCGTACTTCGGTGCGACTCGTGGTAGCAAGCTACTGTAAAGAGCATTTCAATTCAAAATCGTAACATGCCCTCTTTTTTATGTGCCAGTTAAATTGCCTTTACGGCAAGGTGACAATAGACGTTTAAAGAAATTTATTGCCCCTCAAAACGACCGGTAGAGGTGCATAATTTTGGCTAATATGCGCTGCATTCTACAAGTTATTCACGTATTATTTCGGAGGATAGCAAACCTCTTTATTTATGCAAATCCTGGTGATCTCCAATTGTCAGTATTACGCTGTCGCAAGCAAGACATTAAGAAATCATTTCTTGGAAACAATATTTCTCTTGCAAAGGTTATGTGAAGTCTTCGATTTTGTCGATTGTTTATGCATAGTAAATTAGTTTTGCGGATATTTAATATTTCTTGTGGTATCTTAATGCTCTAAATACAAAAAAAGCTTATGGTTTTCGTGATGCACAATCTTTTTCTCTATCTCTACGTTTGGTTCAAAGCGATGGCCCAGAAAAAGGCGTGGTAAGGGCCACGGGTTAATATTACATTCAAAATCGATTTCTTTAGATTGGGAGGGCTGGTGACGGGTAAACGCAGACGATTATATTCTCATCTGAGTTTTTGCATCGCCAACCTTGCACCGATTTCGCGGTTGGTAACGTCAGCGCGACACAACCCTTCCCAAGTGTTCGAAAATATTCTAAAATCGACTAACTTAGTGCTTTTTGATGACGCTCAACTACGTTCTGTTTAGAATGATATGTTTTGCTTACGAACTAGAAATTTCATTCACAAGTTTTAGTTAATAATCTTACTTATCGTGGCAGCTGCTCTGTTACGTCCCCATCGCCGTGTAACTGATCTGCCGAGACTGCATAAGTGTAGCTTTCACGGCTTTTCTAAAAAAGGAGCTATAAAGCCTAAAAAGCACAAACTACATGTACACACACCGTTTCTCGTGATTAATGTTCATAGCAGCAGGGATTTGCATAATTAGTATATTCATAATTGCATTTCAGGCGCCGCTTAGGGACACGTAACACGGAGACTAAAAAATTATCTCCTAATCATGAAGGTAAGAGAGCGGGGTCAGAAGATGCTCCGGACGACACATTTATGCTGATTCTTGAGAAAATCGGAGTTTAACCAGTCATTTTCGAAAGATGTCTAACGAATAACAAAAGATATTCGCCGTTTCTTCTAGAGGGTAACTCGAATTACTGAGTGGGATTTGTAAGTTGGTAGCCGTTTTCCCAGAAGATGGCCTTTACTGAATAAAATTAGAATTGTTTGCTTTGAAGTAGTTGGAGAAAGTCAAGTTCAAAATGTTTTTCAAGCACGTTTTGGCCACTTAGTTCACAAATAAAATTTGACGAGAAGGGTTGTCGTCAGATGATGATCATAAACATCACATTCAACGAATATCTCTGGAAAATTTCACTTATATTTGTCGTGAGATATCTACAACACCAAACGCGAAAATCAACAACAAATTATGACATTACATTTTTATTCTACGTAAAACTGTAAGGCCGCAAGTGTACGTGTGTCCAGAAAAAATCGTGTTTTCTCATTACAAGACAGCCTACGCATTGCCCAATGCTTAGTGCCCCCCAAATGGAGCTCTAACGGTACACCCTGATGCCAGAGTTTTAAAACTCAGTGTTTGCAGATTCAAAAGTTAGAAGCAATTTCTTTTACTTTTACACTGGCAAAATGAGTCCCGTTTTCGGTAGCCGAGGTCACTCCTTTTTGAAGCGTTACTGGACTTCGTCGACTGCCCTCGTCTTATTGGGAATTTCCTAAAACTGTTCATAACCTTTGAGTCAGCAAGTTCTGATACTTCGGCATCAGGTTCGAGCACCGAGCGCTACATTCGGCCAAAGACTGGGCGTTCAGTTATTCCTAATTTAGCTTTGCGCTGAAAAAATTAACTGTAGATGTTTGTTTGCGTGTTTTTTGTTTTTTTTTTTTGCTTGTACCTTTCTAAAAACAAATTTTCCCTGTAAGCACACCGCCCTACTTCTAGATACGGTTTGTTTCCTTGGCATTCGAGAATTTTGCACAAGCGGTCACGCGTCGGCTAATTATTTACTTTAAGTGGCTAAACGTCTCACAATTCTAAATACGTGCTTTTCCAAAGAGGGTGATTTTAATATCACAGCTTATGCTTACAGCTTGAAAGAAACGTTATTGAATATATTTGGTAAGCAACAAATGGATTATTATTTCCAGGACGTGCCTATTCCGGAATGGTCTGCGTGAAAGGCGCTAATGTGGGAATTTCCGAGGCAGTACCTCCTCTGTACAGTAGATTCACCACAATAGCCCACGAAATTGGGCATTTGTAAGTATCTCGTCGCTTCCTTTATAAACACATGTGCTCAGCGTATCACCCGGAAAAAGCTTTTTTAGTCACCATTTGTAAATCCCATGCCTTTTATCTTCGCTATGGACGATGCGATATGGGCCGATAAGAAGCGTGACCTTAATGAGCCTTGCTTTGCGTTTTTTAATCTGTCCCTGATAATAGTGTCGACCATTAGATGGTTTTCTTAGCATGAACAATATTTTCGCAGGCTCGGGAGCGCGCACGATGGAAGTGGTCCCTTGAGAAATGTCAAGAATCATCCTGGTGCTGTTGACTGCAAGTCCAAAGTCAAATACATTATGGACTCTGGAGGGCCTCTTGGACCGCCTTTCGCGTTTTCGCATTGTAGTGAGGAGGGCATGCAATTTGTTATGCAGTAAGTATTTGCTTGAACTTTCTTAGGCGCTGGCATCATCGAACCGTTGTTTTTTTTTGACCCGTGGCATTTCCTATGCTATTATTTCATCCTAACTTTGAATATATCGTTTGCCAGTTGACGGGGATGTTACTGCGAATCGTAGTTACTTAAATCGTAGTTCACTTAAAACGTAGCTAAATCCACCTCACGAATGATGACGCTAAAAGCGTTACCGAATTACGCGCATCATGTTCCTTGAGCTGTCAGCGATAGTAGAAAGGAACTTGCAGCACATCTGTCATTGGAGAGGCAACGAGGCGCCAAGTTCACAGCGAAAATACATTGTATTGTGGTTGTACTGTTATTCTCGATATAAACAAATTATGGTCATTATCTCGACTTTAAGGAACATCAAAGCGTTTACCAAAATGTAGCTGAATCTATTAAACTTCACAAATAACTTTTCTTTTTTGAGTCCCACTCTGTCCGTCGGTTGTTTTGTGTAAACGAACTGAACCGAAACAAACATTACAAGGTTGATTGATTTGTACCCCTGAGGCAACTGTCGGACAACTCTATTTGGCAACACGAGATATACGCGTTTCCAGCGACCCTCTCACATCACGGCAACAAGAACAGCAGGGCAACATGTTGCTGTCGCCCGAACTCCGTGTTGGCCGATATGTTGTGCGTCCACCCTATCACACCGCGCTGACGGCGGGCCCAGTGCTTGGAACACTCCGCCATCTTGATTGTTTACCTTCGTTCGTGTGTGGCGAGGCGTCCCTGGAAATGCGAATCTTCAATGTGCTAGAGCATTCGGCGGGCCGGAAATTGCCACGGGACCGCATCAACTAGTGACTGTGGCTAGAAAACTTGACACAGGGAGTATTTTCCACCTTTATTTCATGAAGATGTTCTTCATTCGCTGACAACGGTATAGCCCTATACAAGGAAGATGATATTACCGATATATGTTAGGAATCTACGACATCGTATAAGGTGTTTCTGTTCAGTTTTTTTCTTTCATGCAATTTCTATTTCTACTGTAAAATTGAGTTAGCACCTGCAGTTTCCTGAAGCGTTTTTTGCAGCGTGGTGTTGAGCTGAACTGACAGTGCTTAAAAACTACGACACCGACATTATCGGCCTTCATTACAATAGGTAAAATGAATACTTTTTTACGCTGTATACTTGTTTCCGCCTGCTATGTGATCGCTTCATTCACCAAACGTCCTGTGGATTTTTGTATCAGTTCGGGTGTCTGGTAGCGGCTGTTTTCTAGTGCCAACCAAGCAGGCTAAAATATCGCGTTCTTTTATTCCATTTGCAAAGCACGACGAAATCTCCCAAATGTGTGTGAATAAAATAATGAAAGCGCAAAATTAGTTCTTTATTAAGGACCTACGCGGCCTTATAAAAACTAAGTCAAAATAATTTGGAATGCAGTTAACCCCAAGCACATTTCCAATCCCTTTCACTTTACTGATTCTTCGAGAAACGAGCTGGATGCTGTTGACGTCTGTGAACGAGTTGGCAATTTCTTTAGTGAAATGTTTTCTGATTACTGAAATGCTTTCTGGCGAGACCTTTCCCTTGCTAGTTATTTTACCTGAAGATAGTATACTAACTCATATGGCTCCAATTGCTATGTCTGCGACTGGTATTTACAAACTGATAGAAAATCTTGAACAAAGTTGAGCTCCAGTCCCTGACATTATTTCAACGAAAGTGCTTAGGCTCTGCAAATAAGAAGCTTCCTCTCTTCTGTGTTTACTTTTCCAACACTCCTTACGAACTGGCGAAATTCCTGCAAATCGAAAAAAGGCAAAAGTCACCCCACTTTTTAAGACCGGTCAAAGGAATGAGTTGACGAAATATAGATTGATCCTTCTGACAGGTGTAACTTGTAAGCTGATAAAGCATGTAATTTTCTGGAATATTATGGATCATTTGCCGGACAACAAATTGCTCTTTGTAAACCAGCACGTTTTCTGGCAGTATCATTCTTGCGAAACCCTCTTTTTGAACTTGTCACAGACCTTCATCAGAAACTTCAGTCTAAAACAGAAACCCATGCAATTTTATGGACATAAAAAAAAAAAAACATTTGACAAGTTACCACGTCAACGACTTCTTAAATTACGCGCTTTGCAAAATAGAACCACCTGTCATACAGTGTAATTGAACTTCCTTGTCGAGCGCTCGCAAAGTGTCTGCTATGAACGCGAATCCTCATATCCTCCGAACGTAAAACTAGCAGTATCACAGGGAACCGTGCTGGGCCCAATACTTTCCTTTTGTACGTAAACGACTTGTCCCCCACTATCCAGTCCACCATCCGTTTTTACGCCGATGATTGTGTGACTTATAGAAACCCATCTAGCATTCGGGATTGTATTGAACTTCAGAACGACTTCATTACAATTAAACATGGTGTCTAATGTGGAAAATGGAGATAAATATTTCTAAAAACAAAATGTCGAAATGTTAGTACTAAGCGAAGTCCAGCAGAGTTTAACACTCACTCTGCTTGAACATGTGCATACATATAAATATCTTGGGGTGCATTTCACTTCAAAATCGTCTTGGGAAGCCCACATCCTTCACATAAGTGTAAAAGGAAATAAAAGCCTCGGTTTTCTAAGTCAAAAACTTCACATGGCAAACTGTGAAACGAAGCGTGTGGCATATACCGTACCTTATTAAATCTGAACTTGATTGCGCTTCTTTAATATAAAAAGCCACGTAATTTTTATTGGACACAAAAACTAGAATCAGTGCAAAATAGAGCCGCACGCTTCATTCTTAAAAAGTACACGCGCACAAACATCACCTCACTAAAGGAAAAACTCGGAGTATCAACTCTTGCACACAGAAGGAAAATCTCAAGACTTGCATCATTCCTTACTTATTACTACCACTGCCCATCGAAGGGAGAACTGTATTGCCGGACTCCACCACATATTTCGTCGCGCACTGACCATTCAGAAAAACTTCATTTGGTCACTCCACGGTCAAACCCTTTCAAATTACCCCCATTACAGTGAGCTACATACGAATGGAATTCCCTTCCTGATAATATTGTAATCCTCCAAGAATCCTCTGGTTTCAGAGCTTCTCTGACCACTTACTTAAACGCATTGCAACCGTAAAGCGCGAGACACATGGACGACAGAATCGTCCGATCCGACGTCCGATCCGACAGTCCGAACGCCGCTCCGAATTGCCGCACGCGACAGTTTGAGACACACGCTTCCGACCTCGCATGCGACACGACAATCCGTTCGGCTCCGCCCAGGAGATCCAAGTACTCCAGCGGAGGTCCGCGTTCATAGATCTCTGGTCTTAGATTGACGGTTTAGCTTGCACAAGCGAAGTTATTAGCTTGTTCTCGCTAGCGCGTGCGTTCTTTGCCGGGGTCATCTTTCTCGAATCGGTCGGCGGGATCCACGCGTCCGGCTTCCCATCGCCCGTCCCGTTATCGCGTTCGCTTCGTCCCCGCCAGACCCAGTGCGTCATCATGACGTTCGCGCTAGCTGTGCTGTCATTGGCTGGACGCATACGACAATCCGTCCGCCGTGCGAAAGTATCTGGCGCGTTGGACGCACGTCGGATCGCCGATCCGACGTCTGATGCGACCAAATTTTTCGGATCAGGCAGTCGTACTGCCGGATCGGACGTCGGATCGGATGGATTTTTCGCGCATGTGTCTCGCGCTTAACACCAGTTTTCTTGTTTTATTTCTTTTCTGATTGTGTTTTGAATAATGTTGTACTTGCCCCCTTTATGTAAAGCCCCATTGGCGCCTTAAGGATATAATAAATAAAATGAAATGAAATCAAGAATCATTTTCATACTGGTCGTTTTAATGCTTTTATTTTTTAGCCTTTTCTTTCTTGCGATATTTTAATAATACCATATCAGCAGCCTAGTATAGACATGTCATTTTATTTCACTAGAAGTAATGTGAGCTGGTCTCTCGGTAGTTCCAAGATCAACAGCAGTTTGAACGTTCACGACCGCCTCTGTGACCATTTTGACAAGCACTTGCCATAATTATGCAGTAAAAACATTCATAAAATTACTTTAGCTGCACGACAGCATAAATTATTGTTGGAAAACGTTTTCCAAGCCTTTATTTAAATAAGCTCATAAAAAGGACGTTGATAGAAAACTAGCTATAGGTGTTGTCTTGTCGGCCCGCAATTCGCCCAGCCAGTCATAAGAGCAGCACGCCTTGTCCAAAACAAGTTTTTTTTTTTTTTTTTTGCCGAAAGTTGTCATACCGAGGTAACTTTTTCGTTGTCATCCATGTTGTGTTACTGTTGCGGCGATGTGACAGGGTTGTCGGACAACATGGGAAGGGAGCAACAAGTTGCACGGTTGTTGGACAGCATGTTGTGTTGCTGTTGCCGTCGTGTTGCATCAGTGTTACAGGGCGCTTAGAATTTTCGTAGGCACGCATTTTGGATAATCACTTCAATTAAACAGGATGTAGTATATCGGCTGCCTTATGCTAGTGGAAGGATACTTTTCTCTCTTTCTTCTTGTGTGTTCATTTAAGATTTAAAAGTTGTATTATTAATCTAATCTCATGAATCAGGAAACCACCCGTTATAAAAGTATTCTCTGGAGAAGAACAATGGAGACAAATGACAAACACATATCTCCAAACACAGTTAATTTCTCCTTGCTGTGTTGAGATTTGTGTTTGTCCTTTGTCCCCTTGTTCTTTTACTGCAGCGATTATTTTCATCATGCTTTTCCAGCTCGCTTGCACCTTTGAAATATTTTCATTATCATAATAACCTTAATAGGCTGGCCATTTATCCTTCCGTATTGAAAAATCTTATTTGTATGAGAAATATTTCCGTCCAATAAACACATATGAATCATACAAGATATATAAGAACTATATAAGAAATATAAGAATCTTGAGAAAAGTTTCTCATATGTTCTTATGTCTTATATAGTTGTTTCTATGGTTTTGTATGGTTCTTATATGTTCTTATATATCTTGCATGATTCATATGTGTTTATTGAACACAAGAAATTTCTCATTCAAATGGCTTTTTCTTTAGGGTTGTTGGAGTTTGACCGGCGGCAGCTGATAAAACCCGTTAGCACTACTGACGCCTAACTCCTGATTAGCTCAGTAGGTAGAGAGCTCAACTGGAAATAGAGATGTCCCTGATTCGATACCAGGACCAGGCGGATGTTCTCTGTCGCGCACAAGTCACCTATTTGTGTTTGGAGATTGGTGTTTTTCCTTTGTCCCCGATGTTCCTCTTCTCCAGGGAATATTTTCATCACTCTAGTGCAGCTCGTTTGCACCTTTGGATTAATTGCATTTCCATAAAAACATCCGTATTTCTTCCATTGCACACGCCCAGATTTCGATATATTGTTATTTTAAAACATATAATGACCGATTCTTGTTTATTTGCAGGCTACGTGGAGAGCAATGCTGGAAAACACAATCCGACTATGACTTTTTTAACGTCACCAAGCAGGTTGCGGACCGCTTTCTCACACCGGAGAGGTTTTGTCAAACCATTCAACCGGAGGGATACTATTCGGCCGTGAGCATCACTCCCCTTCCCTTTTGTATACCTACCCTCTCCCTGAAATCCGCTCCCCTACCTCTTGGCAATGCGCGCAGCATGCTGAAGGTATGTTCAAACAGGACACTTTTAGTGCAGCCACAGCATTTGCTGTCGCTACAAATGAATGGTTTTCTTCTTTTCCTGTCGCCTCGCAAACGTTTTTTTTTTCTTGTTTTTTTTTGTTTTTTTTTGTTTTTTTTTGCTCGGGAAATGCTATTTACGACTTGGGTTCTTGATAAGAGGATTTAAGGGTGCTCATCACGTGCATCTGGAGTCACACGCTGTGCTGGCTGTCGTCAAGACACCACTGTTGTTGGCAATCGCGAATCTTCCGAAAACAAAGGAGAAGAAACGACGATAGTGGGAAGGCGAGGAGGAAAGGCGTGCTGCTTGTATGGTTGATGCCCTCACTGAAAACGTAGGCCCGCGCAGCAAACTTCTCGCGTTTTAGAAGCCTGGACACTTTTTTTTTCCCTACACGGCATGTTTTTTTTCTGTTTGGGCAACCCTTGATTCGTGCGCTAACAAACACGTTTGCAATAAGAAAAGCTACCTTTCAAGTAATGCCGACATTGTCTGTGGTGTGTCATGAACATACGTCACAGCTGAGGCTCCCATAGAGCGACGTTCCTTATGGATGGAGAAGTACAATCTCGATTTTTTGTCTTTGTAAGAAAGAACAATGACTTGTTTTAAATTTGATCATTCACATGAATTCAAACGCCTCTTAGGTATTGCATATATAAGGACTAGACCGTTGGATATGAAACCCAGACAAAAACGTATGTGAAATCGCTAAACATGTACCGGAAAGAGAACCCGGCAGATGCCCGTCGTTGGTTTGGCACATAAAAACCCCCAAATTTGACTTTGCAATAGAACCTACTGCACAACGCATTATCTTCTATAAAAATAATATAAGTATTACTAAAGTTTAATGTTTTCACCCAGACATCGCTTTCGGAGACCATTAGACATTTGCTGTAGCATCTGTGGTCATGTGCCCATATGTTCTACAGAATTTGATATCTAAATTAATATTGAAAATTTAATCAAACATTTGTCCTACTGCAAATATTTGAAGTTGACTACCTTTCTTGCTACAAATATTTTCAGAGTATGGAGGACTGCGTGATAAGGTGCCGTAATTGGGAATCCTATTGGTACGTAAAGACGCACATATACTTCGCTCCATTTGGCATCCCTTGCGGGGATAATGGAGAGGTAGGATATCCAAAAATACTTTGTTTTTAAGTTTTCAAGCACCTTGGGGGGCATGGGTGTTTCAGATGAGTGCAGAGAAGGGAACCTGTCAGTTAGGGGATTTAGAGCACCAACAATTTAAGAAATGCATTAACTGCCGGGTACTGAACATCTTACCATTACTCGGTAGCTAATAAGATCTCGGCATCAGTGGATAAGAGCGTCGAAGCGCCGATCCCGCTCTCAGAATCAACACCATAATGGTCCTCACTCTGTGATCTTTCAGCTGACAGCAACTCTATGTGTGCTTCAAGAACGGCTTACCAGTATATATTCTACTCGCGAACACTAGGTAGAAATTAATGTTATATATATTGTCACGGGTGGTGACCAAGAAAGACAATAAATAGGCAGAAAATAATAAACGTTTAATGTGGCGAAATGGTGCCAAAAATACATGGGTACAAAATATAATAACAGAGCGTCGCGGGCGTCGAAGTCGGCGCAACAGCAGATTTTAATGCTGGGGCGAAACTGACCCTGGCTCGCTATGCGAAGCCCCCTATATACACGAGTGAGCTTCTGGAATTGTGGGCGTAGAATGTTCAACGAGCAGAACATTCGGACCTCGAAAAAGCAACAGGGTTCTCGAATTTACCAGAAAAATAAATTGCAGGAATAACAAAAGAGGCGTCGCTCCCAGGAATCAAACCCTGGCTTTTCGCGTGGGAGGCAGGCGCGATAACCGTTAGGCCAAGCGCGCGCTGGCTACTTGGCCAGCTGCGCGGGCGGAATAACTCCCCCCTTTAAAAAGCGCATCGTCACGATGCAACACAAAACAAAACAAAGCAAATAAAAATAACGATAGACTAAAGAGTCATCTGGAACACTTAAGGTCTACAGTCCTATCGAGCGTACTACGGCTTCAGGCGCACGACGTGGATGACTTCAGGTCGTGGTAGGCGGCGCGATGATGTCCTTGTTCCCTCGGGCATCAGATCTCCAAGTCGACGAAGTACCTTGTAGGGTCCGAAATACCGCTTCAGGAGTTTCTCGCTCAGGCCACACCGGCGAATCGGCGTCCAGACCCATACTCTGTCTACGGGGAGGAACTGGACGTCCCGACGACGAAGATAGTAGCGGCCCGTGTCGACACATTGCTGGGCTTTAATCCGGTGTTTGGCGAGGTGACGGACTTCTTCTGCCCGTTGGGCAACCATCTGGGCGTCGTCGCTTCCGTCGACTGCCGGTTCTTGAGGTAACATCGCGTCCAGCATTGTCGTCACTTTGCGACCATGAACAAATGGCCGTGCAAGAGACCTTGTGATCTCTTGCACGGCCGTGTTGCAGGCAATGGTGACGTACGGCAACACCTCGTCTAATGTCTTGTGCTCCACGTCGACGTACGTGAAAATCATGTCGGCGATGGTCTTGTTGAGTCTTTCCGTCAGCCCGTTGGTCTGCGGGTGGTTCGCCGTGGTGCGACGATGGCTGGTGTGGCTGAGACGAAGGATTTCTTGGGTCAGCTGTGCCATGAACGATGATCCGCAATCTGCAATCAGAACTTCGGGAGCGCCATGCCGCTCCCGAAGTTGATAAAAAACTTGCCGACTTCAACAGCAGTACCTGAAGCAAGGGCTTTCGTTTCCACTTACCGCGTGAGATAATCTGTGGCGACGATTATCCACCGGTTTTCCAGGCTCGACGGCTAAAAAGGACCAACTAGATTCATTCTGATCTGCTGGAACGGTGTAGCTGACGGAGGAATGGGCTGCAGGAGACCTGCCGACTTTGTTGGCAGTTTCTTGCATCGCCGGCACTCGTACGTGGCAGGATCGGGTGTAGAGGTGGACGGTTTTGGGGAGATTGGACCAGTAATACTTTCGCGAATACGGTCCAGTCTCTGGCTGTAACCAAGGTGTCCGGACGTAGGGTCGTCGTGACATGGTTGAAGGACCACCTCTCGAAGGTCGGCCGGGATTACCAGCAGCCACTGCGAGTTGCTGTCCCAAAAGTTCTCTTCGCAGAGTATACCTTGTCGAATGGCGAAGGTCGGCAGGGTTCGTGAGAAAACACGGGGCACGGTATTCCCGCGCCCTTCCAGGTGCTGGTTTAATGCGCGCAGCTCAGGATCGTTTCATTGACGTCGTGCCAGGTCGTCGTTGGTCACCGCTCCTAGGAAGCACTCGTCGTCATTGCCGTCGCTGCGGCCGGAAGGTGTTTCGACAGGGGCCCTGGACAAGCAGTCGGCATCGCTGTGGTTGCGGCCTGACTTGTAGACTACAGTCATGTTGAACCCCTGTAGTCGGAGACTTCATCGAGCAAGGCGTCCTGAAGGAACCTTGAGGTTCGCAAGCCAGCAGCGCGAGTGGTGGTCTGTGACTACGCGTAACGGTCTCCCCTACAAGTAAATGCGGAACTTCGTGATTGCCCAGACGACCGCAAGACACTCCTTTTCAGTCGTGGAGTAATTTCTCTCAGATTTGGACAGCGTCCGACTTGCGTAAGCGAAGACTCGCTGGGTGCCTTCTTGCACTTGAACCAGTACCGCTCGAAGTCCTGCATTACTAGCGTCCGTGTGAATCTCAGTTTCCGTATCCTGATCAAAGTGTCCTAGGACAGGAGGAGTCTGGAGTCTTCGCTTCAGCTCGTCGAATGCCAGCTCCTAGTCCTCGGCCCATTTGAACTTTTTGGCGTCCTTCGTGAGGTTTGTGAGTGGTGCGGAAATCCTTGCAAAATCTCGAACGAAGCGCCGATAGTAGGCACAAAGTCCGAGGAATCTTCGCACGGGCTTCTTGTCTTTCGCCGCTGGGAATGCCACGACGGCGCGAGTCTTCTCGGGGTCTGGGCGGACGGCTTCGTTACTAACCACGTGGCCTAGGCAATTCAGTTCGTCATAGGCGAACCGACACATTGACGGCTTCAGGATGAGTCCGGCAGTCCGTATGGCTTGGAGAACTGCTCGGAGTCATCGCAAGTCTCGTCGAAGTCGCTGTAAAACACGACGACGTCGTCAAGGTAGACGACACAGCTCTGCCACTTCAGTCCTGCCAGTACGGTGTCCATGACACGCTGGAAAGATGCTGGCGCCGTGCACAATGCGAAGGGCATCACTTTGAACTCGTACAGTCCACCCGGCGTGACGAAGGCTGTCTTTTCTCGGTTCCGTTCGTCGACTTCGATCTGCCAGCAGCCGCTCTTCAGGTCCATCGATGAGAAATATCAAGACTGGCGCAGCCGGTCTACAATGTCGTCGATGCGGGGGAGTGGGCAGACGTCTTTCTTCGTTGCCGCGTTCAGCAGCCGGTAGTCCACGCATAACCTAAGTGTTCCGTCCTTCTTCTTAACCAGCACGACTGGAGAGGCTTACGGACTATTATGTCGTTTCTCAGCATCTTTTGAACTTGCTCCTGGATTACCTCCCTTTCTTTAACGGAGACTCGGTACGTCGATCGATGCACATGGCGCGCGTCGTCCTCGGTAACGATGCGGTGCTTCGCAACGACGGTTTGGCGTACCTTCCACGACGTCGCAAAGCAGTCGCGGTATTCGGCAAGGAGATAAAGAAGCTGCCGTCGTTTCGGGCCCGGAAGCTTAGGTTCAATGTCGAGCTGCGCTGGCGACGTACTGTCTTGCTGAGGTTGCAAGGTTACATCAGTAATCAGGGCGATCTCGGCGGTGTTTTGAAGTTCCTCGACGTGACCCACGGCTGCAACTTTCGTGACGTGTTGAGTTTATTTCGGAAGTTCGTCTCGAGGACCACCGTCCGCCATCCTGAAGGTCAGCTACTCCTCTTGCGACGCCTATTCCTCTTCCCAGGAGCAATTGAAGGTTGCCTCCCAGGAGAACTTCGCCGCAAGTAGCTGTCTCTGCCGCGACGGGTACGACAACACTTGATCGCGGAGGCAGGTTCACGTGGTCGAAGGCAACTCGGACGGCGGGTGACGCTGGTCGGGGTTTTTCTGAAGGCGGAACAGGCTTCCGCAGCGTCAATTTGTTCTCACCCAGGTCGATGACGGCCCCGTATTCGTACAGAAATTCCATGCCGAGAATGACATGTCTGCAAAAGTCTTGTAGAACGACCAATTCCACAGGGCACGTTTCGGCGTGAATTTCGACGCGAGCAGTGCAAATTCCGACAGGCGTGATAAGGTGTCCTCCGGCGGTTCGAATTTGTGGTCCTCCCCAGGGCGTCGTAACTTTTCGCAGGCGGCGAGAGAGCCTCCCACTCATGACTGGGTAGTCTGCTCCGGTGTCCAGAAGTGCCGATGCGTCGTAGCCGTAGATAACAACGTTTATGTTGTCGGACACCGTTGCTGGAGCTTCGTTGCGACGCGTGGCTTCGGGAGAGTGGGAGCGCTCCGGCGTTCTTGGAGGCTCTTTACTTTGGTCATCTTCAGCAACGCCACCTCCAGTCGTTGCCGCACTTTGTTTTCCCGACGAGATAGGAGAGATAGGCTGTCCCGACGAGAACGGCGGAAGGGTTAAAGCGCACGTCGAGGCGAAGGCGAACGGGAACCTCGGGGTGGAGTCGGCACCGGAGACAGGGGTCGTCGGAGGTACTCCTCGATGTCTCTAGGTCGCTCCTCAAGGCGAGGTCGCGGGTCGCTCGGCGCGAAGCCTCGCAGGCCAATTTGTCGGTACGGGCACCTCTGGTAGACGTCATCGGCCTCGCCGCAGTGATAACAGTGTGGTCGTCGATCGGCCGTGCGCCAGACATCTGTCTTCCTAGGCGCCGGTTGTTCAGTGCAGGCGAGGTGGGGTGTCCTTTCTCGACGTAGGAAAGTCTGCGGCTCTGGTAGGTCCCGTCGAGGTGTCGCCGTATATGGGTGAGGGGCTGTCGTCGTCGGGTAGCTGTGCCGTAGCTCAGCATCGGTGGTTCAGGAGAGGCGCTGGTGAGAACTTCTGACTGCAGCGCCTGCTGAAGTTCTTCCCTGACAATCTCGACGACTGAGGGCATAACCGGCCTTGTGGCAGCAGGTAGCAGCTTCCTGATTTCCTCCCGCACGACGTCCCGTGTAATCTCGCGGAGGTCCGGGCTGTTGCAGCTGGAAGTAGAGATTGCAGCGACGCCGGGAAGTCACTGGTAATGGGAGGCCCGTGCTTAAAGGGCACGTTCGATGTTTGTTGCCTCCGTGATGAAGTCTTCGACGGTGATAGGCGGCTTCCGCACAAGGCCTCGGAAGATGGCCTCTTTCACCACTCGCATAAGGAACCGCAGCCTCTTCTCGTCAGGAGCCTTTAGGTCGGCGCGGTTCATGAGGCGGAGAACGTCCTCGAAGAAACTTGAGACGCTCTCGTCTGGCCCTTCGCTTCTTGCTTGAAGAAGATCCTCGGCCCGGTGACGTCACTGCTGGCTGGCGAAAGTACGTCGAAGCTCCGCCTGGAAGTCTTGCCACGACGAAATTGACGCTTCGTGGTTCTCGAACCAGGTGCGTGCAGTGCCTTCCAGAGCGAAGTAGATATTTTGCAGGCTCTGCTCCGGACCCCATCCTTTGAACCATGCGACGCGTTCGTTGTGGCGCAACCAGTCGTCCACATCTTCATGAAAATTGCCACTGAAATTCGGCGGTGACCTTGGTGGGGCAAACACGTAGACAATGGACGTCTGTGGCGTTCCGTCCGGCTGCGACGTGGTGTTCATCGTCGGCTTCGGTAGCTTCTTTGTCCTGTCCGGCAGTGGTCCAAGTTCCGTGGGTAGGCCGGGTTTGCGGCGACTTGATCGGGTCTCGGTCCTCTCTTCGATGCGTCCTCGGGGGCTCGGTATCGGACTTGCACTGCGGGCCCTCGTAGGGGTGTGCTGAACGGACATGCGTACAACGCACCTTCACCAAAATGTCACGGGTGGTAACCAAAAGACAATAAATAAACAGAAAGAAAGAAACGTGTAATGTGGCGAACTTGTGCCAAAAATAAACGGGTACAAAAGATAATAACAGAGCGTCGCGGGCGTTGAATTCGGCTTAACAGCAGAGTCGAACGCTGGGGAGTAACTGACCCTGGCTCGCTATGCGAAGCCCCTTGTGTACACGAGTGAGCTTCTGGAATAGTCGGCGTAGAACGTTCGACGCGTAGAACTTTCGGACCTCGAACAATCCCAACAGGGTTCTCGAATTTACTAGAAAACTAAATTGCAGGAATAACAAAAGATGCGTCGCTCCCAGGAATCGAACCCTGACTTTTCGCGTGGGAGGCAGGCACGTTAACCGTTAGGCAACGCGCGCGCCGCCTACTTGGCCAACTGTGCGTACGGCAATAGTTTTAGTTAGCTCGACTCTCTAGAGGTGCAAGTAATATCCGGCTCCAATCAATCTTCAGTGATACACAGCCTGTTCTTTTAGGCTTTTTAGAGTTGTTTTCAAAAACGCCGTGATCGCTACACTAATACAGTCTGCCATTGTTAATGGTGCTAAAATATAGTGTCGCCCCAGTGACCTACTAAGTGCACTTGAGTCACCTAGGGTGGATAGATTGGACAAAAAAAGCTGAACTTCTCTTTGTTGCACCATCAAAGGAAGATAAGCTCCTCTACTCTCAATGATTAGAGGTTTCCTTTTCCCGACTCTCCTCTTCTCTGGAATTCCCTCTGGCATTGTGGAAAGAGTGAAGAAGTTCGAGAGAGGAGCTTATTGTGCAATTTCATAAATTCTACCTTTTTCCGAACCATTTTAAAATATAATTTAGGCCTTTTATTTTGTAAAGGTTTATGGGGCGGGCTCAACAAAAATATGGTTTTGAATGTATGGTAAATATCTGACAGTTAAAATTCGGCATCGAATGTAACGAAATAACTAAGCCTCTCACAGTTTTGCAATACAAGCGGTACATCGGTAATTTAGTTTTTTTTTTTTTAGAACTGAGATAAAAAAAAAATTAGTTTACATGTTGCTTGAAAGAAATACAAATACTCAAACGCTCCTCTAAGATACTATTGGAATATATGTGCACCGCGACACTGCCCAGTTCTGTCTATCGCCGATTTCACATTGAACAGAGAGGATCGCCAGCAAAAGCCGTCTTCCGAACTGCGTAGAAGATAAAAAAGACAGCAGATATACCAAGCGCCGCTTACCCATTTCAAGCATTCTTAGTGTGATAATAATTACGAACCACTCTTTGACGTGAAGCTCAAATGAATTGGACCTGTGCTATCTGATGGCTCGTTCAAAACAACCAAACCGATTCGGCATGCCACATGTTGCTCACAAACACATTATGACCGGACGGAAAACAAATAAGGAGAGTTCGTCACAAATTGCAAACAACTCAAACCTACGTCGAAGTGATATTGACAATGGAGGCGCTATTTCTATGTCAGTATATAGCTCGTATACTTGTATGTTTGTTTTGTCTTGAGTTGTTAGCACGTGTATACACAAATGAAGTACAACTAAATGTATTCAGACGTAGCTTCTTGCTAACCTTGTCAGATATTTGTTGAAAGCTTATTTTTAACGTATATCTTGCTCCAAAAACCGAAAACAGACCAGTATGCGTAATAGAGAGATCCTTCTTCAAGATTTCTTGGTGATGCTTAGAATAGCGTACCAAGCATAAATTGACGACTGGCTAACATTCCTCGCTGTCTCGGCACGAGAAATTTGAGAAATCTAAGATGAAAATTGTTCCCTCTTTTTCAGCGGTGCTGGTTCGGAAACTGCACGAATATTGACCACGAGGTCTCTTAAACAGTTACAAGGTGGAAATTTCCGGTCTAAAATATCCATGCCTCTGAAGAAGTATAAATAAAAGCATTTATTTTTGCCTTTTGCATTGAGTGTTGTATGAGAAAAAAATCACAATAAATATATGTCTTTACACTATCTTTTTACAATAAAATGCCTATTAAAACTTTCTATAAACTTTATTTAGCTTTAGCTGCAAAAATAACACGAAAAACGAATTACAAAGACTTGACCTAACGGGTCGTTTTGCTTTAATTTTACTAGAATTTAAAAGATTCTTCGCGGTAGTCATTAGTCTAGGTCCTGATATCTGCCGTGCTGCAAATCAATGAAGAGCGAGAGCACTGTAGCAACTTTTATCTGATCATTCGAGGCAAATCCATTTTATTTATAAATTGCCACAGAATACACAACAACATGCACATATCAAGCCTTTGTTTCAGTTGCGCAGGATAGCTTTCTGGTTATCGCATATCTTCTCGGTGTGTCAGCATATTTTGTCGCCATTGCAACCACACGTCTTCATCACGTGACAAAAATATAAAGTGAGCAAGAAGTAAATCAAAGGAAATGCTGTCTCAGTGGAAAGAGTCATGGGTATTTAAAATACAAAGATAGTTCTAGAAAATGAAACTGTTTTTTTTTTCTTTTTGCACAATAAAACTACGTATCTCAGAAATTTAGACCTTCGTTAATAAAGCGAATTCAAACGCATTCAGACGCCTCTGTGTGTAGGAACCTTATTTATGTCGACACCGTTTATTGCCAATCGCGTTGTGAGTGGCGCTATCCCATTACGAAGATCCCTAATCGTTGCGTGTCGCTGTAGCGCACCAAGTGAGACAGAACACTGTGAGAGACTGAACGCAGAGTTCAATAAGGTTTGCTAACCCAAGACATGCCACAAGTGTGGTCCTGCTCGAGGAGGCTCGGCGTGAAAGAAACGCAGTCTTGGGCTCGCGCAAGGACGTGTACCGATGTTTCAGTGCCCCACAGGCGCAAAAGGGTCCGGGATAAAAAGCTGGATGGATGTGCAGAAAAAGAGAGAGATTACACTTTATTAGGCCCAAAGAATATGAGCAGGGGGCCTCAGTCCAGGCCCTCTCTGGTGGCGTACTCCAGAGAGGACTGGATGTACGCAGCCACGTAAATCAGCCAGGTAAGCCAGGTAAAAGGTAAAGGGAAAGATCGCGGCGTGCTTGACGAGGTCTGACAGAAGCTTTTTGCCATGAACGCGGTGGAGTACCGCAAACTGCAGGCGTCAGCCTAGAACAGTTTCTTCAGCTCCCTTCACGCCTGAAACCAAGAATCGCGCGACAAGCCGGACAAAACACAATGACTCCCCAGTTTTGTTTTTCTCAACAGAATACAAAAATAACAACAACACGATCTTATGTTGATACCAAACTAAACGCTTTTCGAGTTACACGCCTCTCGGCTGTTCAGTCTTTTCCCTCTGCGCGCCCGAGAACTGAAATAATAATTTATTTTATAGTAGGGATTCGTTTTGTGAAAAAAAAAACGTAAAATTTTCGTTGCTGCTAAATAAAAAAAGCACGAAATTTTTTAAAGAAATTACAATCGAAAAGGAGGAGGAGCGGACTGCGCTCATTTTGGCCAATCACCAGACAAGCCTCAATGGATGTCATGGTCCACCTATAAGCTGGTTTTTTTTTTTTTGCAGTCTACGGCGCCAATCTTATGGGTCCCGGTGTGATTGTTGCTGTTTTTGTTAAATTAATTTGTGGGACACGCAAAAGCGACATCGTGCTACAACTTCGTTAAAGTTATACACTCTAAGAAAAAGGGGAGCGCGGCTTAGTACCACAGGGGAACAAGCTCGTTGACACCACCATTAGTCCCTTCGGGGAGTAACGGGAAGGGGAGTAACAGTTGCACCCCTCCTTTAGTGTCGCGCATTAGCACCGTTGGGACTAACTGTCACACCGTTTCAATTGTACCTCAAGGGACAACTGTTAGGCCCTTGCACTTGGTCCTTTGGGACCAACTGTTACACCGCTTCAATTGAACCCCGAGGACGAACTGTTAGGCCCTTGCACTCTGACACTGAGACTGACTGTTGCAAAGTTTCAAACGAACCCCGAGGACCAACTGTTATGTCCTTGCACTTGGACTCCTCGGTCTAAACGTCAGTCCTTGGATTTAGACCCCTGGGACTAAAGATTTATTCTTTACATTCGGTCCCGAGCCACAAATCTCCGAAACGAAATTGTGCAGTTAAGTTAAACACAGCCTTATTGCCTCGTAGAAACACATCGCATTCAAGGATGGTTGAAGTCGAAGTTCCTGAGCGGTAGAATCCACGATAAGGCCAAATTCCGAAGAGTGCACTTGCGTCGACGATGGCTTAAACACTGTGACGTCTTTCCAAACCGGTCGTGGTCCACGCACCGTTTAGCTCCTTGCCTGTTTGCGAAAAATTTGGAATATTAGCAACAGGGGCAGCGTGAAATACACGATCGCTCAGCAAAAGTATGAGATATAACACACGCATAATAAAATATTGAATAGGCTACAAAAGTGTTACAATGGCTTACATCTAACATGCGATCTGTTGACAGCAGACCAGCGCACTATGATACTTTTAGTAGACTGTTCGCTGCGAATTACAGACCAAGCGTGTGCATGCTCAAACTATGCTTCAAACTGACGGAACCAGGTCACGCCATCAACCCGAAAGTCTGTACTATCGAAGAAAATGTCTCCATTAAGGCCGGTTCTCACAGGCAACGAAGCGCTGAAGTAGCGCTGCTCACGTGTGGTGAGCTGCTTTTCGTCTGCCATGAGCAAGAGTTTTGACGGTGCGATACAAAGCTGGTGAAATCTCCCGTCAGCACGCGCTTAGCGCTAGGTCAGTCCTATGCCTGTAGCTCTCTGCTGCATGTGTGAACACGCATTTATGGCAAAAAAATCCTGCCAGGGTCTGCAAAACGCAAAAAATGAGCCATCGGTATAACTGGCGTTTTGCTTGACACGATTGAATATCAGGTCCCTGTGCTCATAACAAAATAAGCAACCATGGTGCCGAAAAGAATAGAGCTTGGAGCGCGCTTCGGAAGCTAAAGAACGCGCTCAAAATAAAACACTTTCTGATGTCGCAGTTATTGAATATACCATAAACAGAAGTACTTTGACATACCTTAATCGGGTTCGCTTGTCTTGTGACTTCAGAACAGATCAAGTGCCGTATTGCAGCACCGCGAATCTAAACCGGATCCCGCAATGATCGGCGACGACCAACTTCTAAGTTCTGAAAAAGCCTATTGTAAAAACAGGTTCTTTTCAAACAAAGTCCCTTTTCCATTTTCCCGACGAACCCTCTCTGCCCCATCTGCCCCACCCCCGCGTGTACGAGGAGCGCAAGAAAAAACGCGGAGTAGGTTGTTGGTGGGAGGGGGAAGGGCGCGCACACGGAAATCTCTTTTCCCCCTCCCACTGCAGACACTGCACACGGACACAGCAATGCTTCACGGACGGGAGAAGGTCAAAGGTCGCCATTTTCAACACGCCAGTCAAGTGCCGTACAAGCAAACACGTTTTTTGTTTTCTCGCTTTCTCTCTTTTTTCAGTTTTTTCGGCAGCTTTTTTCTTTAGTTCGCATTGGTTTTATATTAGCAGTGTGTTGCCATGGATGACGATCCAGGGACGGTTCGTTCTTTTTGGTTCATCTGGAATGTTATCTGAAACAGTGACGACGATCGTATGAAGGCGTTTAGATACTGCCCCTGAATGTTCTTTTTAAGTGGTACGTGCCGTGCATCAAGTGTGTCGTTGCGGATTTTGAGTTCGACGTTGGACTACCAAGAAAGGTTGGTTACTAGGAGACGCAGAAACCAGGCTCGACGTATTCTGAGTAAGTAAAGTTTGAACGATTGAAGTGACCATTTATTCTGACTGTGAGACTCCGGTGTTGAAAGCGCGTCTTCTACAAACTCTGAAGTTTTATTTCAGAAAAAAAAAAAAAGTGTTAGTGTTTGGAGGTGTTGCGTTTGGATAAATGCTCATTTTTTGCGCGAAGACAAATGACATAAATGGGACTTGTGAAATGTCAACAGACCATTTTTGCCGAGATATTTGGGAGAAGTAGAGTCAACGCATTCGTTAACTCGCATTCGCGCAACGCGAAAAGTTCTACCATGTGATGTCTGAACGTTCGTGGCACATTAAGCAAATTCGCCAGTTTCGTCCGAGTTTTGTCAACACTTTCAGCCGTGCTGGGCTGAGTCTCGCCGATCCCCAAGACAAGCGAAATATCATCCGTCCTCATGGCGAACATTCCGTTTGTTTTAGGGGACCAAATCACATTGATGCACCCTGTCTGAGGGCTACTGATGGCTGCTTTTGCTCGCGCACGCCGATCGGGTAGTTCCAGTCGAGCGCAGTTAGTCCCCAGCTTTTGCGCACGGTACCTAGCTTGAACCAGATAGTCCTTCCGGGGAGCAACTGGGATTTCAGAGGACCAAATGCTGCCGTTAGTCCCTTGACGCCAACTTTTTTCTTAGAGTGTACTTGCCAGATGCGGAGTTCCGGAAAGCCAAGGCCGGGGAAGCATCGGAGAAGTCGCCGATACACGTCCTATATCTTTCGCGGTCACCGGACGAGTCCCTTTTTCGAAAGCGGGAAAACAATAGGCCGAACCTCCTCGCCTGTCAGCAGTGATTCACGTCCGAGGGGAGGAACGGAAAAAGGTCCCTGCGGGCCCCGGGAGAGAGTGATGAAGAGAGCCTCACGAACAGGTAGGGGCCCACGTGGAAGGCGGCCCAACGTTCCGACCCGCGGTCGTTATCACAGCCATCGGGGAATGGAAACCACAGGTATCCCCTCAGATGCTGGCAAACAATGACTCATGAAATTCCTATCTAGGGACCTGCGGCAAAAGACACTTTGACTCCACTCTTCGAACGCTACCTGGTTCGAGTCCCCGGCAACGCAACACCTGTCAGATGAAAAAAATAGTTCAGAGAATCGGAAGGAACCTTGGTCAGCATAGTAACATTGCCCCAGCATCGCCTT